GGATTATCTATTGAACTGTTAGTCTTGAGATATATTATCTTCAGATTATTTGGTTAGATTAGATTTGTATCTTATGTTTGTTTAGTCATGGGATTAAATGTCAGGAAAAGACTATTTGATTGGATAGGATATAAATCATATATTTGTTTGAGATATTATAGAGATGGATAAATGTTCAAATGACTATTTTACCATTTTCTATTATTTACTAAGTAATTACAATATTAAGCATATCTTTAATATTTTAATTATTTTTAACTAGATTAAATAAAAATTTATTTTATTTTATTTTTTACACAATTAAATAAATTTATTTTTAAAAAATTAAATAAATAAAATATCAATAAAAATATATGTTATTTTTTGAATTAAAATTTTAAATAAATTTATTTTAAAAATAATAATAATTAAATAATAAGATTAAATAAAACATCTATTAAAATTTAAATAATAAAATTAAATAAAATATAAACAAACTTTTAAAATAAAACATCAATAAAATATCTATAAAAAATACCAAACTGGAGAGAAACTCAAGGGAAATGAGCCTAGAATGGTGGAAATAAGGAAGGAAGCACCGAAATCAAGTTTCAATCGGCACAAAATGAAGAGAACAAAGAGGTTTTAGCGAATCAACTTTGTGTAGGGTGTTGGAAAATGCGTAGAAAGCGCAAATCTAGAGAGAAGGAGTGTCTAGAGAGAGAGGGAGGTGATTTTTGGGCATGTGATTGAGACATTTAAATTTTATTGAATTTTACTAAATATAATACATAATTAAATAGTAGAGAGTCAAAATGGTCATTTCACTACCTAATCACATATCCTCTTTTATCCCTTCATTTGTGTCTCACTCCCCCCCCCCCCCCCCGCCACCACCGCCCACCCCAATAGATTTGAAACTAATAATTTAGTACAAAAATTTTAAACCAAACAACATACTATTAGTCCGAATGGACAAATAATCTAATCACACTCCTTAATTCCTCAAAAACAAACACCACTTTACTTTTTGCTCTTTTTGAATTGGCACTTTTTATACAGTTGCTTGTCGTTGGGAAATTGTGACCCACGAAAAAAGTTAATTTGCAATTTAAAATAATTTAATGTGAAAAATAAATAATAATTTTTGTCTAAGAAGTAAATTTTTGAAAAAGCTAAAATAAGTCCCCAAAAAAATCCACTAATTTTTTGTTTATTTTTGTCTTTTCTATGCTTTTTTCAAAATTTTTAAATTGACAAATTAGAAACCAACCTGTCCCAAACATGCTCAAAACATTCCAATACTCAAATAGGAAAGGAAAAAGAGAGAAAGAGACATGAATAATAATATTAAGCCACGAAATCCGAGTTCTGAATACAATAAAGGTCGGGTCAAAACCAGAATCGCTATAGAAAACAAATCAGAAAATTAGGGTTTAAATTAATAAAATTAAAAATTCAGACACCCATCGAGATGTCTCCAGATAGGATTGTGTTCAGGAAAGCATGCCATCTCCATGTTGAGTTAGAACACCGGGCTTTGTGGGCCATTAAAAAATTCAATTTTGATATGGTCAAAGCTGATGTCCATAAAAAGTTAAAGGAGCTCCGCAATGATGCATATGAGAGCTCCAAAATTTACAAGGCTAGGACTAAGGCATTTCATGATAAACACATTTCTCGTAAGTCTTTCAAACCTCACCAAATATTTCATCTACTTTTGATACATCAAAAGAATATTTCCTATGCCAGTCTTTCTTTTTAAATTGATGATCAATAGTTGTATCCTTTTGAATCAATGCTTCGTAGGACACAGGCTCCTTTCCTATGATCTATGCTGCATCAATTTTAAAATTAGGGTCCCTGTAATAAGTCCTATACGATGCATTATTACGATCTTGTTCTTCTTCAAAGAGAGTCTAGCCATTATTTCATCTATAAATAGACAGGCACTCATTTGAATTTTTCACTTGAAATTTTCATCCTAAAATATGCTATTGCTCTCTGCATTTTGCTGCATTTAATTTTCTGTGAGAAAGAGTGTAAACACAAAGTGTGTTCGTTGTGCGAATAATGGTGTTTTTACCTTGGGAATAATTTGGTTTCCTGGCATAGTAAAAAGCAAAATGCGATCTTTCTTTTGACTAGGGGTTAGCAGCGGATATATCGATCCGCCAAAACCGACAGAACCGAACCGATCCGCCGCATTTTGGACGGATGCGTGATGACGAGCGGACGGTTGCAGATTGATTTTCTCCAATCCGCCAATTTGGCGGACGGATGGCGGAATTGAGATTCCTTTGGCCGCAACCGAACTGCCAAACCGCGAGCACCCCTAATAATTTATAAGACTTTGTGTTTTCAATTTGTTTAAATATTTTGTTTGTATTTTCAATTGAAAATGAGTTTAAATATTCTGTTGAAAAAAAGCTTTCAACTTGAATATATTTTTTGGTTTTTAAATCTAACTCTAAAAATAATAAATAGAAAATATGATATATGTTGGTTGATTTTTGTTTTTAAAAACATATATAGATGTAACAATACAGAAATATACAATCTCTACTACTGCTCTGTTCATGGTTTTGGTGGTTTGAATTGTTTTTATTTTTTAAAAACCACAGATTGTAATACTTTATGTGGATGAATTATGCTATGATTGTAATATGTGGATGAGGCATGTAGTGATTGTGATATTCTAAAGTTTCAAACTTTTTTTCTTTGGATGAGACATACAGTGATTGTAATACTTTTTTAAGTCATTAACTGATACTTTTTTTTTTCTTTTCTTTTTTGAGGAAGTGCACAAGTTGAATTATGTTGAAAATTTATAAAATTTTAAATCGCTAAACTGATTCGCATTTATCCATCAAACTGCCAATCCGCTCAATCCACATCCGTCGAATTGGCGGGCGGATGTGGATTGATTTTCTCCAATCCGCCAATCTGGCGAACGGATGACGGATTGAAGGTTCCGTGGCCGCAACCGACCTGCGCCCACCCCTACTTTCGACTGCTGAGGCTGAGTACATTGTTGCAGGGAATTGTTGTGCACAAATGCCGCGTGAATTCCATCGCCACATTAGGCTCACGAACTATTGGGTCTACTTCGGTCATTGGTTTGTTTCTAATAAAGATCGAAAAGTTTCGGTCATTGGTTTGTTTCCAATAAAGACCAAAAAGCTTAGCGGGTGCACCGGTCTGCTCGGCTCACTTTGCGCAGCGGCATGCCCGCTCGCGACCTTTGAGCCCCCATGTTGTTGCGCCTCATCCCTAGGGGACTTCGTTACTTCACCTCTTCTGGGGGACCTATTCCGACGTCTGGGCGATGCAGCGTGTACGGTTGCCGGCATGTCATCCTCTGGCGCAATAGGTTGGTGGACAGTGTCTTCACGCTACGCGGCAGGCTAGAAAGAGGCCATTTTTATTTTTTTTTTGAATATTTTTCTATATTTTTAATTTAAAAAAAAAAGAAAAAAAATTCAGTGAAACTAATTGGTCCTTTCTATAATGGATAAATTACAAATACATTCCTTCCGGTACGCTCTGATACTAAGTTGTCACGCCCCCAAATTATAACATCATAGATATGATCCACAACAGCATAAATAATAGTTACATACGTTAATCCAAACACAAGAAATGTGGCACGTTTCATACTCAAAGTGATGAAACATGTCGCATTTCTTAATCGTTGTCACCCTTGATCATGCATGATAGAGCTAGAGAGCCTAAAAACTTTTCAAAAATTTAAAAAAAGAATTCATTAAAAATGAAAATAAGCTTAAAAAAATGGCAAATGCTAACAAATACCACAAACATTGTTTAATGTTGCAAAATATGTAAAAAGTGTTTTAAAAATATATTAAAATATTAAAAAAAGTAGTAATTTCAATAAAAGCACATTGAATTTAGTAAAAAATATATTGGATGCTTCAATTTTTTTGGTTTTTTACTTGTGTCCTAAGAGTACTTGTAAACAAGGCCCAAAAAAATTCACCAAATAAGCAAACCCCAAACGCCAAACAAAATACAGAATAAACAAAAATTAATCAGTGTGATTGACTTCAATTTTCTATATTCAATTTTCTAAAAATTGAGTTTTTTATTTTCATTTTTTATTTTTATTTTTAATGAATATTTTTTAAATTTACAAAAAATTACTTTTTTAGATGTAACTTACTTAGATATATCTAAAAAGTAAAATATTTGTAAAAAAAATATTTTAAAAAATCAATAAATATACAAGAATATGAAAAATATATTGAATTCTCCTTTTTCTTTTTCTTTTTCTTTTTTGTATTTTTGGTATTTAGTGAATTTTCTAAAAAAAATCAAAAATATTATACTTTTAAAGTGTATTTATGTTAGGTATATCTAAAAATTTAAAAAAAAAATGCTTAGAATATTAAAAAAAAATCAGTAAAAACAAAAAATACAAAAATTTCATTTTCTAAAAAGTAAATTCTGAAAATTCAAACCAAACAAACTGAATAAAATTTTGCAAAATTCAATAACTCAACTTTTTTATTTATTTATTTATTTTTGGATAAATTAAAAATACACTCCTAAGGTTCGTTTGAAATACAAATTGTCCTTGTCTTCTGTAATTTGAAAAATTATAAATATCCACTTCTTAAAAATTTTTATTTAACGGAATTAATTAAAAAAAGAAATTCATAATTTCTCTTCCATACAATAATAAAATTACCTAAATTATTAATTGAAACATTTATAACATCATTAAAAATTATCAATTAACTTGATAATTTATTAATAAAATAAATAATTTATTATAAAATTAAAAACCTCAAAATATAATTTTTAAAATTACAAAATATAATTTACCTTTAATTTTTAAATGTCGTGCACTCCAATCATTGCCTTAGATTAGCTGACTTTTTCAATTTTGACCCTCTAGTCTTCACCGCGTGCCGAGTCTCTGCCGACTCTCTTTCTAAAACTCTCTATCTAGACATATTCACCCCCACATGTATTGACTCTGCCCAACTCTAGTATATAATGGCGTCCCAGAAGTCCATCATCCACCGAACCTCATTCTTCGAATCTACGAATCTCTCACTCCTCCACCACTATAAACGAGATTGAAAAACATTTCAGAGACAAACCCAGAACAAAACAGAGTCTCTATATACAAACCCATGTCAATTTTAGACCCTTGGCCTCATTTTTAACAAACCCATTTCCAATTTTCCACTTCTCCTTCAAACAAATCATGAGGAAAACCAGAGTTTTCAAGCTCGCGAAGATCTTCAAATGGGCAATCCACCGAAAAACATACCAACACCTAAACCCACCGAACTCGACGAGCAAAGCCATGTCCAAGCTCTGCAAATGGGGTCGTTCTCTGAAGAACAGAGCTCAAGGGCTCTGTTTTTCCAAGTCCGGGTACATTCGGGTGGGTCAAGACCCGGTTGAGGCTAAACCAGTACCGAAAGGGCACTTGGCTGTATACGTGGGGAAGAAAGAGGACGACACGCATAGGTATTTGGTGCCTGTGATATACTTTAATCACCCACTTTTTGGGGATTTGTTGAGGGAGGCAGAGAAGGAATACGGGCATAACCACCCGGGTGGGATCCAGATACCTTGTCGGGTGTCCGAGTTTGAGAATGTTCGGACAAGAATTGCCGGCGGCGGCGCCGGCAGCGACTTCTGTAGGCGGCGGAGCTGGAGGCTGAGGTGTTTGTCCAGCTAATATATATATATATGTTTTTTTAAATGATTTTGGGTGTGGCGATGGTTAGTTGTGTATAAATTATTTTTTATTCCTACAACCCAAATTAAATTGGACTTGGTCTCCTCTAGCATTTATTTGCGTTTACTTTTTTTATTTTTTAATTTAATTCCTATCAATTTTTTTCATTTATTTAAAGAAAAAAAATTATTATATCACCAATCATATAAATGATATTTTGCCATAATTCTAGTGATATAAAGTAATATTATACCAATTTAATAAATACTGTTCAAAAAAATTCTTACAAAAATGCAAATTGAATTGTTCTTTATCGAATATCATAGAATATCATACTATTCTAATAAAACTTGTTTTTAAATAAAAAAATATATTATTATTATGATCACGTGATGCTTCATAATAATATGATTAATGAAGAAAGTGAGATATTAATTATTTGTGTTTTGTGTATGAAGAATATAAAAAGACACAATGAATAATAATTAATAAAAAAATATGGTCACATAATACTCTAGAGATACTTAATTTTCCACCCAACTATTGGTCTAAGTTCTGTCCCGGTTTAAAAATGGTTGAACCGTTCAGATTGATCCAGTTTGTGATTTTAACACTTTAATTGCAGTTGAGAATCGAACCAAACAAAAGTACAGAAGCGACTAATAAATGTAAAATTCAAACACTAGCCTTGGCTGTGAAATTGAGTGGCTTTAACCTATTCATCGATGCTACTTGTTAGTTTTTTTATTATTATAGAACAAAAAATGTTTGAAACTCCTTAAAAAAAACGTCTCATACATCAAATCACAATGATGTAGCGTAATGAAAGTGTCAAATTATAAAATATGTAACATATCTCTTCTTATTTAAGAACCATGGAACCGAACTGGTATGGTTCGTCCTATGGTCTTGTTACATAAAAATGGTTCAATTATGATTTTATTTTTATTTTTTTGAAACCAGAGACTAGTCTAGTTGTTGAGTCCAGTTCATGATATACTCTAAAATTGAACCAATTCAATGCATGAACACCTGAATGAATGGGTGTGATCAAAATTTCAGGTATTAGTGGTTTTTGGTAATGAACAGTGACTGCCTAAAATAAAAAGGAGAACAAGATGAATGAGAAAAGAAAGGATAAGTTACCATTGAATTGAGATATATCCAATCAGCAATAACGACCAAACCAGGTTCTCTCACAGAACTCTCGAGGATGGAATGACTCTTTTCGGGTACGAATCTCCAATCTTGTCCATGTACCATTCATGTGAATTCAGTGTATCATTGTTTGTGGTCCCTCTTCGGATGTCTTTTTAACTGCAGTACATGCCAAACAGATTTAGAGCACAAGATTAAAACCCCCTCCAAATTTGGATAAATACTGATTGTAACAGCGACGCTATTTTACATGGTGTTGTTGGCCAATAAAAAAATTACAAAGGAAATTAGATAGACACTCCTCATCTCACTACTGCAATATGAGATTTCTATTGGTGATATCACTATTATAATTTATATCTATTATGATCTATTGGTGATAATACCCCGTGATATCACTACAGCAATATGAGATTTCTTTTGGAGTTATTTTCCTGATTTATAATCCTGTATTGTCTGGAGAATGAAGACTCAATTCAAAGCAAGTTTAGAGTTATTCAGAAAAATGGCTATGCATGCATCATATTCATCATGTTCTAAGTCCAGCAGAAAATATATACACATAGTATGCAACCAGTGTGCATAACAGCGATAAATAAAGGGCAACTTAATGGTTGGTATTCTCTCACAACTAGATTTCAGTTGACTGAAGAGAAGCCGTGTGCTAACTTAAAAATGATCTAACCCGTATCATGCTCATTCATTGCAGTGCATATGCTACCCGTATCATCTCCCCCTTAAAAATGATCTAAGAATTTTCAAGTCAGTTTGCACAATACACAAAAAGAAGATAGAAAGGGCAGTGCTTACCCTTTGCATAGATAAAGAAGATCAGCTACCTTCGGGTTAACAACATCCATGCCAAGTATCAAGGTGAAATTTGTTGAGAGGAAAACTCTGTAGCAAGATCAGACCTTCGAAGGAGAAACAAATAATATATTTGATACATACATATTTTCAAGACAGACAAAAATGATAAGACACATTTGATGAGTTACCGAAAAGGGTGGAGCGATCGGAATTAGAGAGTGCCCAATCCAGCATTTTGTGTTTTAATTGAAGTCCTCTCCTTTACCTGCACAAATTAAACATGTCTACCATCTCATATCAGATCAAGGTTGAAGTAATTGATACAAGTAATAGACTTCAACCCATTATGTTGGGAAACTAATCATGCCTTACTGAAAAGATAATAATCAAGCTCTATCGAGTGCTGGATGATGGTTCAGAATTTCTTAAGATTTTCATGAAAAATTTAATACCCGTCCCATTAAAAAATAAAATAAAAAAAATATTAGTAGTAATGTAGACCTTAGTGTATTCACCCTTACAATTAAAATCATGGGTCCTTCCTCGTAAATGACCACAATACTTGATGATAGAGAATGAACTTAGAAAATATGAGGAAGAAGAACTCCGAAAATATGAGAAAGAATGAATATATTTCTGTTATATTCAAAACTTCTTATATTACAAGACCAAATGACACTCCTTATATAGGAGATATTACAAACATCATTATAACCCATTATATGTCACTTACATATTATATACATGCCACTATCTACCACCAACACCACTATCATATTCTATACATGCCACTATCTACCACCAACACCACTATCATATGCTATACATGCCACTATCTAATTATATGCATTAACACAAATTTCCAGCAAGATTCAATTGGAATATCAACAAGCATGCAGATTATCGCGGATACTCAACAAGAATTTGACGTAGTCAAAAACAATAATACAATGCTCTCTCTGAAGCAAAATTTCTTATACATATGCTCACGAGTTAGTAAATTGCAAAAATCGCAATTTCCCACTACACATTAATTGCTTTTAAAAGTTCTCAAGACCATTCCATGCATGCTACTATCAAGAACACACAGAAGTGGTCTTGAGAGATCAAAGAATGCGTTCAAAGAAAATGGCAAATCCCTTTTGAACGATTTAAAATTTCTATTGAACTCCGCCAACCAATTGGGAAAATCAACAAAACAAACTTTCAGTACTTTCCACGCAATGAATGCCACTTAAGTTTCAACTGGTACCACAAAGGAGGAATACCCAGAATCCCTCGCGCCAATCTTGGATCAAACACATCAAAATGTGCACGTCTCAAAGAATCCAAAAGAACCTGGGCAGGCACAGCCGGCAAAAGCACTGGACGAGCTTCCTCAGGCACCGTTCCAGCTAATTCACAAGCTTTTTGGAGATGCGAATTAGCCACAGATGCCATCTCAAAAACAGCATCACACAAACGGTCACGAGAGTCCATGCGAATCTCCATTTGGCCTCCCTGGTTAACCAACAACCCATGTTTGTCTGCCACGTTAGCAGGTATGTAAGAAAACTGACGGTTGCGGCTGGCATGGTATGGCAACGACTTAAGCAGCAAAAGAAGGCCACTAGCCTTGCCAATATGTGAAGCTGCATGATCTGCAGCAGTGGACTTGATACCACCTGCTTGAAGAGTCATGTACAAGATAGTTGAAACAGTGTCCTCAGCATACCGCTCCAACTCTTCAATTGTTTCTGGGATTTCAGTAACCTCTCTTTTTGCATCATTGATTCGAGCTTCAACGGATCGTGTCAGCCAGCCCTTGTTGATTTTATGCTCATATATTACTGATGACAGGGCCTGAGCTATTGGGTGCTCAATTAATTTGTTGGCAAATATCTTGTCTATAGCTTCTCGCCACCAAAGGAGGCGCATAAGGCCGATTTTGGGATCAGAAGCAACATCCATAGCTCTTGCTGTTTCAACATTGAAAGCACGGAGAGCAAACGCAGCCTTCCGCATGTTTGAGGGAAGTTCAAGAAGGCAGAGATAATGATGGTAGTCATAATTTCGTATTTGCTGTACACAGTAGGAGAAAGCCGTCCGTGTGCCACCAGAGGCAGATGCACCACTCATTAAATCCCAGCTGTGGTTTCCCTCCTGCAAGCGTATTACTTAAAAAGCAAGGGAAATGTTTATTAGAAGGGCATAAAGGAGGAAATAATATATGTTTAAAACAAAGGGTTACACAAGAAGGAAATCATGAACTTGCCTGACAAAAATATGCTTCGAACCAAACTATGCAAACATATTGTATACAAAATGCATTAAAAACATAGCAGCCATTACCAACAAGAAAGAGAGAATGAAGTTCTGGGACTATCTTAGAGGTTTTGCCGCTGAGAATCAATACCCTTGGCTATGTTTGGGTGATCTCAATGAAGTTGGCTCGGTGTGGGAAAAGCAAGGGGGCACGGTGTTCAGGAGAAGATAGACTGAACATTTTCAGAAGCTCTTATTTGATTGTGCTTTTACGGACTTGTTCAAGGGCCCTCATATACATGGTAAAATATAAAAAAAATAAAATAAAGAAAGGAGAAGGATGATATTCGGGAATAATTAGATTGTGCTTTAGCTATAGTGGGGTGGAGACCTTTTTTTTCCCATATGCTAGGTCTATCATGAGGTATGCCATGGCTCTAATCTAATTGACTGTCCCCTTCTATTGTTTTGTAGTATTCCCCTATGTTACAGTACATGGACCCTCCAATATAAATCAAATACCCATGTCGGACACCCGACACTTAGATAAAGGTGTGGGATACGGTTATGATACTTTTCATTGGACACTCCTTATATATTGATAAATAACAATATTATTATTATATATGTTATATAATTTCTACAAAATGACCAAAATATCTTTTTGACAATGTATCTTACATATAATACTATTTTATTTTACATAATAGATTAAAAATATAAAAATCTGAACTTTTTTGCCAAGTCTAAGTACCTTTAAATTTGAGGTTTGATGGATCCGACCTTTAAATATGTACTCATACCCAACACCTGTATCCGAGTCCATATAACAGAAGTATTTCCCCCTAAAAAAGTCTCTGTCTAGACTGTTTAAATTTAAAAATATGTGGTCGACTAGTTCTGAATGCAGGGATGCTGTTCAATCCAAGTGGCAGGCCACTCAAGCTAGTTCCCTTGTGTTTAAGCTTTCTCAAAATCTCAAAAGGTGTCAGAGCAGACTTAAACGTGGAATTGAGATAATTTTTGGCAATAACAAGATTAAAGATGCTAATATAAAGTCTCAGTTCGCTGATATTCAGCTTCAACCCCTATGGAATGTAACTTTCAGGCCCAACAGATGCTGAAATCTGAAATGGAGACTCTTACGAAAAGGCAAGAAATGTTTTCTCACCAATGCTCTCCGCTCTGATGGCTAAAGTATGACCTTTCTTTCATGCAGTTGTAACCTAGAGATGCCAACAGAGTCATTTAGTCAAGGTGAATGATAGCAGTGGAGTTTGGCTCAATTTGAATGAAGACATCAATGTGCATATTCAGGTTTCTTTTCCAATTTGTTTCAAAGCTCTGGCCCCAGGAACATGGAAGAAGCTCTGGTGCAATGGGTTATGCAGAGTGTCTCAACAGTTTCCTACTCAGTGCTTGCTAATTGAGAAAAGAAAGCTTCTTTACTTCCCTCCAGAGGTCTTCATCGAGGAGACCCTTTGTCCCCATATTTTTTTCTGCTTGTTGCCAATGTGCCTCTAAATCATTTTCAACAACACAATTTCTTGTTCAAAATTACGAGATCTTGCCCACTGTTCTCCCATATTTTCGTTGCTGATGATGCTAATCTTTTTATTAAAGGAAATAAACTACACCAGATTTACGATATAACTACTAATTTAATGCCACATAATCACTTCAATCAAACAAGTATAATCCGTACCACACAATATCCAGTCTACCCCAAGATTATCAAAACTATCAGTGGTTCAACATTTACCCACTTGAAAGCCACCACTACTACCAATCTCTACGGTTACACTCTTACTAGCCCAAACAACCATCCCAAATTGATGGATGTGGAGAGAATTTTTTGGGTGTATTTAGCATATCCCGAATTGAAAATGCAAGAATTTTTCTTGTTGATCTCATCAATGTTTGCCCTTCCCAACTGTGCACTCAGGGACAGAACTTGGACTTCATCTATCGGAAACAAGACATGCAAAATTTTTTTGTTTTTTTTCACCAATTGATATAAGCTATCAGATTCCAATTCAAGAACCAATTCAGCATTGACTAGTAATAACACCCCCCCCCCAAAAAAAAAAAAAGAAAAAAAAAAAGTATCATACCTATGGAATATCATGTGCAAGTAAAAGAAAGGTCCAAAGTGAAACAATTATACAGGATATACAAGACAACATCTATAGCTATACAGGCTATGCATTTGGATTAATATTATTCCAATAAATAATTTCTACATGATTTTTAAAACTCTTTTTAGCTCAAGTTGCACATATAAATAAGGAAAACTTACGTGTAAATCCTAATAGCTATTATTCAACAGGCCCTATGATAATTAACGATATTTTTTTATCAAAAACTATTAAAAAAGTCACTAATTATTAATTTTCAATGACAGTTTAAAAAAATTATCACAAAAAAATTACTAATTATAAGTTTTAGCGACTGTTTAAAAAAATCGTCTAAAAAAATTACTAATTTTTAACTATCAGCGACAATTTAAAAAATCAGTGACAGAAAAATGTCACCAATTATAAATTTTAGTTACAATTTATAAAAACTGTGACAAAAAAAAAAAGTCACTTTTTGTCAATTTTTAGCTACATATAAAAAAAAAAAATCGTCACAAAAATTATTTTTAGCACTTAATAGGAATTAAGTCCATGAGACCAGTTTACCTACAAAAATAAACGAGGTACACTGTACATGCTTTAATTTGGGGGAAAAGATTGATTTTCTGAAATGTTGAGCCCTAACCTAAGGATTATCCCCAATCCTTGAAATAGAAAAATCTAATGAGCAATTTCCATCAATATGCAATAGAGATTATTACAGGTGGTAATATAAGTAGGAGGGGAGAAGAATCACCTACTGGGTAGCTGTGAAGATTCGGCGAATCCTTGGTGAATCCGTCGACAACGAAGAGCTGCAGCGAGATCAGCTAATGAGTGATGATGAGAAAAAGCATACAAGTGAAGGGAGAGATAGACAGTCTGCAGACTGCAGAGTATAATTTAAAATGAAAAATTACTAACAAATTGGTTAATATGCTAGCTGAGAGATGAGATTAAAGGACCGGTGTGTGTGGATCGTCTGTCTATGGCCTTGCAATGGGAGGAGGAACAAGAAGGCGGAAGCTGAAACGATGTCGTAAAGTCTATACAACTGACGGGCAAACGAACCGAATGAATCCAACACAGCCCAACCCAACCCAACCCAAGTAAGACCTTAATAGAATATCCGAATCAATTTCCATCTACCTTAATTAAATTTTTTAAAATTATGTTAAAATTGTTTATTTTATTTTACCCATCTTGTTTTTTTTGAACCAGTATTTTACCCATCTTGTTCGACCAATCTAAAAAGTTAGCAAAATTCAAAAAATAAATAAATCAAAAAGTGAAAATAAACTACAAAAATCCACTTGTAACGCCCTCAAATTAATACGATGAATACGTTTCAGAAGCAAAAACATAGCAACATAAATCATAGTGTAAATGGTCCTTTCATTACATGAAATTAATATTACAAAAGAGTCTATTACAAATAATGTCCTTCCGGCTTACACATTTCCAAGTCTTGACTTGGTTACAACAAAAGTGGGACTAGCCCTTACAATTAAAGCCCTAGGCTATACAAAATATAACAAATAAGAAGCTCTTGGTTCCCGAAGATCCCTCATCTGCTATTGCCTTGGTGGAGGCATGTCATCATTATCTGAAAATGTTTTTTCCAAATAAGGTGAGCCACAGTCCAGTAGGAATATTCTAACACAATATTGTAACATGCCCGGGAGTACCTGCGCACGTTAAACAGTTCAGACCCTCGATCTCTTTGATCTAGTCTCACGAGTATAATGTGAAACATAGATGAAAGTTCAGATTTGACAACTTTATAGAAAATCCATTTTATTACAAAATTATTGCCACAAATGGATTGCGTCATCAGATCTCAAAGTCGCCACCTAATATTTTGGGAAATTAGGAAACCCATGACTCGTGCCAAAGCCATTGTTCATCATAACCAAAATTGTCTTGATTCGGAACCTTAAGTACGAGAGGAGAAGGTCATTAATTGAGCACCCCCGCTCACCCGATCAAAAGATTGGCCTTTACTAACCATGATATGAATTTTATTTTTTTTAGATGTTCATATTTTGACTATTTAATAAATCCTAAAATTTACTATGTGAAGCATACAAGTATAGACCATGTCACCCACTTTGGAACAGCTTGATTTCATGTAGTTTTGAAAGAGTTTTAAAGATGCACAACCCAAATAAATTGAGTATACAAACATGAAAATCAACATCATTCCAAATTAAGCGACACAACCTCCATCCACTGGCATTCATAGAATTATATCACATAAACAAATAGTCTCATGGTAAAATGCTAAACATAGTAAGAAAAACGCACGCAAACGGGATGCTAAACTATAAAAACTTACATATTTACTGACGTCCCTAGAACAGCTACAAAACAAAGCTAGTAAAAACATACATGATCTTATACAAAATCCTAATGCAATTCACTCATGAGATGCAACTAAAGAGTCGGCTTCTAAGATATGACATGTGAATCATCTCAAGAACATGAAGTACCGCACATAATCACATAGGAATTGATTAAATTCACAAATGCGAACTTAACTGAATCAAGATGCATGAAACATAGATACAAAGTATGGATATAACGACAAAAAAAATAAAATAAAATAAACATGATGCATATTTACAAATAAGGAAAGTAAGTAAAAGAACTGGATAGAAAGAAGTAGGGTGAGAAATTATTACAACACTTTGAATAAATTATTACAAACCAAATTAGAGGGGGGAAAATATTACAACAAAATAAAAAGCTCACAATACATTCAAAATAAAATAAATAAAAGAAAAAATAAATAAATAAAAAGTTTCATATGCCTTAAAAATCACCGGAAGTTGGTTAACATCGGAAAACAACGCCGTCTTATCCAAAAGAAACTAGCTGGCCGACCAACTAGGCCTAACAAAACCTGTCTTATTGCGAAACCAAGAAAAAGAACAAACAAGAAATATGTAGGTGGCTCAACTAACTACTACTGGTTAGATTAAAAACAAGAAAACAAATATAAAATAAAAACAAATGCAAACTTACAACAAAACTAACATGAATCTAAAACAAGAGAACAAATATAAAATAAAATAAAATGTGCAAATTTACAACAAAACTAACATAAACCTAAAACAAAAAGAAAGCAAATATGAGGTAGAACATGCAATACTATAACAAAACTAATATGAAACTAATATAAGAAGAATATAAGTTAGGAAATGCAAGATTACAACATAATTACTATGAAATTAAAAAAAAAAAAAACAAACATAGAACATGTAAGATTACAACAAAACTAATATAAAATTAAAGTAAGTGAATAAAAATAAATAAATAAATAATTATGAGCTAAACAAACCACTTAGATTACAATAACATACTATGAAATATAAAGTAAGAAAATAAATATGAGATAGACAAACCACTTGGATTATAACAAAACACTGAAATAAGAAGCAAGAAAATAAATATAAGATAGAAAATATAAGAAAATGAAAGACTAGAAATTCACCTTTCAAAAAAAGATTAAACTTCTTGATTTCCAAACTTCCTCTTAATCACCCTTAAGTTACGGAGTATGTTGTTGAAATCTCAGCAAGAAAGTTCAAGTTTTAGCTTTGGTGAAATTTTGGGTGGTAACAAAATAAACTCTCTTTTTTTTATTCAACTTTAGACCTCTCTCTAAAAATATTTTCACTCAATTGGAATAAAATAAACCCTTTTTTTTAATCAAAATTTAAGTCTCTCTTTCATCAAAAAATTTCACCACCTCTCATAGTTCTAATGGTCTTCTATATATAGGCCAAAAACCAAGACCCTTTCATATTCTGAAAGGCCAATTTTGAAGAGCCAAAACCTATTCATGTTTTGAAAGGCTAATTGTGAATAGTCAAAACCCATTTTATTTTTTTGGAAGACCAATTGTGAATAGTCAAAATCCATTTAGTTTTTTGAAAGGCCTATTGTTTCAAACTGCTAAATTTTCTGGACAAGGGAAACAAATGCAAAAAAAGATTTTTGAATAGGTCTAAACTAATTTGGAAAAAACGAGTGCAAAATTGGGATTGAAGCTTAAATTTGATTTTTTTTCCGAGAAATTCATAATAGCACATTATAATTTTCATCATTGGGTGTTCAGAAGAAAGCGCCCAAGCCTTACGGCTAGTTAAACTGGGGTGTTTACAGTTGCCCCTCTTTGACAGAGCTTGAAGTCATTTCATGGCATGAGTAAATGTCAAAGTCCGAAGACGACCCTTTTGACAAGACCGTAGGACTTAGGCAAACAAACAAGATGCAATGCAAGTAGTTGAACCAGAAGGTTGCCTACGTATCCCTTTGCAAGGAATCAAATCTGCGTAGTTCAGGAGCAACATGCAAAATGACATGCTCAAAAAGTTATTTGAAAATTCATAATTATGCAATGCAATATCATGGAGTGATAATAAACATATGAAGATGACAACATAAGAGGAATGATATGAAACATAACAGGGGGTGCATCGCATTAAATGTGCCACAAGATCACATACAAATGTGTCACAACACAAATGATAGGTGAACTCGAAATCCAAACGTGTCTTATGCGAGAAGAGAAAATAATGAACTCGAAATCTAAACGCGTTTCACGCGGAATGAGGTATACTGGTGTAACCAATAGATGATCCTAGCCGTATTTCATACGGAGAGGAGGAAGGTAAACATCAAATCCTAGCAAGTTTCACATGAAAGGAACAATAGTAGTGAAACCAATAACGTACCTAACCGTATCTCATACGGAGAGGGGGAAGGTTTTAATCGAGTAAACATCAAATCCTAATACGTTTCACGTGAAAGGAACAAAGGTGGTATAACCAACAGACATACCTAACCGTATCTCATACGGAAAATGGGAAGGTTTTAACCAGATAAACATCAAATCCTAACACGTTTCACGTGAAAGATGCAAAGGTGGTGTAACCAACAGACGTAC